CAGCTGCCCACACCCCCTTCAGGGTGGGGGTCCCCACTGGGGTGCCTGGTCAGCCTGGATGAGGGGCTGATGGCTATTTTCAGGCTGCTTGCACCCCCTTTAGTGTGGGGGTCCCCACTGCTGTGCCTGGCCAGTCTGGATGAGGGGCTGAGGGCTGTTTTCAGGCTGGCCAAACTGACAACTGAAGCTCCCAGCCTCTCCTTTTTTTCTTTGTTTTTATTCTGGGATTTATTTACCTTCTATAATTGAAACTTTGTTGATGCTCCAGCTCCGGGGCCAAGGCCTGCTGAAAGCAGGAATCTGGGGTTTGTTTAGCTTCTATAATTGCAAATTTGTTGCTTATAGTGGAGCTCAGAGCCAGGCCGCGACAGGTGGGGAACCTTGGCTTCCTCCATCACTAGAGCAAGCAAGTCTCCTGCTCGCTTCAGCTGTGTGGCTGACGGCTGCCATCTTGGTTGGGTTAATTTGCATATCCTGCTGATTAGCCAATGGGAAGCATGTCGGAGCTACGGTTAATTACCATGTTTCTCTATTATTATATAGGACTAGAGGCCTGGTGCACAAAAATTTGTGCACTCGGGGGGGAGGGGGGTTCCCTCAGCCCGGCCTGTGCCCTCTCGCAGTCTGGGACCCCTTGGGAGATAACGACGTGCTGGCTTAGGCCTGCTCCTGGGTGGCAGAGGGCAGGCCCAATCCCTAGGTGCAGCCCCTGGTCGGGCTCAGAGCAGGGCTGATTGGGGAGTTGGGGCGCTGCCCCCTGTCATGCACAGAGCAGGGCGGATTGGGAGGTTGCGATGCCACCCTCAGTCACGCTCAGGGTAGGGCTGATTGGGGGGTTGGGGCACCGCCCCCTATCACACTCAAGGCAGGGTCGATGGGGAGGTTGAGGGGCCACCCCCTGTGATGCACAGAGCAGGGCCAATCAGGGGGTTGGGGCACTGCCCCCTGTCACACACAGAGCAGGGCCCATCAGGGGGGTTGGGGCTCCGTACCCTGTCACGCACAGAGCAGGGCCAATCAGGGGGTTGGGGAGCTCCCCCCTGTCATGCACAGAGCAGGGCGGATTGGGAGGTTGCGATGCCACCCTCAGTCACGCTCAGGGTAGGGCTGATTGGGGGGTTGGGGCACCGCCCCCTATCACACTCAAGGCAGGGTCGATGGGGAGGTTGAGGGGCCACCCCCTGTGATGCACAGAGCAGGGCCAATCAGGGGGTTGGGGAGCTCCCCCCTGTCATGCACAGAGCAGGGCGGATTGGGAGGTTGCGATGCCACCCTCAGTCACGCTCAGGGTAGGGCTGATTGGGGGGTTGGGGCACCGCCCCCTATCACACTCAAGGCAGGGTCGATGGGGAGGTTGAGGGGCCACCCCCTGTGATGCACAGAGCAGGGCCAATCAGGGGGTTGGGGCACTGCCCCCTGTCACACACAGAGCAGGGCCCATCAGGGGGGTTGGGGCTCCGTACCCTGTCACGCACAGAGCAGGGCCAATCAGGGGGTTGGGGAGCTCCCCCCTGTCATGCACAGAGCAGGGCGGATTGGGAGGTTGCGATGCCACCCTCAGTCACGCTCAGGGTAGGGCTGATTGGGGGGTTGGGGCACCGCCCCCTATCACACTCAAGGCAGGGTCGATGGGGAGGTTGAGGGGCCACCCCCTGTGATGCACAGAGCAGGGCCAATCAGGGGGTTGGGGAGCTCCCCCCTGTCATGCACAGAGCAGGGCGGATTGGGAGGTTGCGATGCCACCCTCAGTCACGCTCAGGGTAGGGCTGATTGGGGGGTTGGGGCACCGCCCCCTATCACACTCAAGGCAGGGTCGATGGGGAGGTTGAGGGGCCACCCCCTGTGATGCACAGAGCAGGGCCAATCAGGGGGTTGGGGCACTGCCCCCTGTCACACACAGAGCAGGGCCCATCAGGGGGGTTGGGGCTCCGTACCCTGTCACGCACAGAGCAGGGCCAATCAGGGGGTTGGGGAGCTCCCCCCTGTCATGCACAGAGCAGGGCGGATTGGGAGGTTGCGATGCCACCCTCAGTCACGCTCAGGGTAGGGCTGATTGGGGGGTTGGGGCACCGCCCCCTATCACACTCAAGGCAGGGTCGATGGGGAGGTTGAGGGGCCACCCCCTGTGATGCACAGAGCAGGGCCAATCAGGGGGTTGGGGAGCTCCCCCCTGTCATGCACAGAGCAGGGCGGATTGGGAGGTTGCGATGCCACCCTCAGTCACGCTCAGGGTAGGGCTGATTGGGATATATGTACATACTTTTATATATATCCTATATAATAATAGACAAACATTGTAATTGACCATTCCTTCGCTATTCCTCCCATTGGCTACTCAGCGTTATATGCAAATTAAATGCCAACAAAGATGGTGGCTAATTTGCATACTGCAAGCAGAGCGGGACAGCACTGCTCCCAGAGCAAGCCACCATCCCGGGCCACTAGACGGCCCCAGAAGCCGCCCAGAAGCCAGTGATCAGGGCAAGATGGAGGTCCCCTGCCCAGGCCTGACACCTCTGGTGGAGGAGTCAGGCCTGGACAAGGGGCCAATCCGGCAATGGGAGAGTGATAGAGGTCGATGCCTCTGGCCGAAGCGTCAGGCCTGGGTGGCGGCTGGAGCTGGCAATCGGAGGGGTCTGGGTGGTCCCCTGTCTAGGCCTGCGCCAGGAGCATCAGGCCTGGGTGGGGGGTGGAGCCGGTGATTGGGGGGATATGGGGGTCCCTGCCCAGGCAGGACACCTCTGGCAGAGGTGTCCGGCCAGGGCAAGGGGCCGATCTGGCGATCAGAGGGTGATGGCGGTTGACGCCTCTGGGCAAGGCATCAAGCCTGGGTAAGGGGCCAATCTGGTGATCTAAGGGTGATGGACATTGATGCCTCTTGCTGAAGTGTCAGGCCTGGGTGAGGGTGAAGCCAGAGATGAGAGGGAAATGGGGGTCCCCTGGGCAAGGGGTGGATCTGGCGATCGGAGGGTGATGGGGGTCGATGCCTCTGGCTAAGCCATGAAGCCCGGGCAAGGGTGGAGCCGGTGATCTGGGGGAGATGGGGGTCCCCTGCCCAGGCCTGAAGCCTGGGCCAGAGGCGTCAGGCCTGGGGTCGGTTGGGGCGGGGGGCGGGACAAGCCGGCTATTGGTGTGAACTAAAGAGGAAACACTTTTTCTGACCGCTCATTGATTAAGCTCCCTGTATGCCACTGGTAATATTCTTAGTAACTTGGGTAATAAGAATCCAAAAAGGTGATCTAGGGTTTTTC